TGCTATTACAAGGTACCCTTACCACGATTATACCTCCGATGCTGGAACTTATCGCCTTTACCACTTTTCCGAGATTTTTTATCATTATCACCGCTCCCATATATTTCCACTCAGTTAGTGACATCCTTAGATTTCGGATAAAGAATAAATTAGTGAAGGAAATTAATTACTAAATTATCCGTTGCTGCTATTACAAGGTACCCTACATTCTTATCAATGATCATCAACGATCCCGTGTATTTCGGGACACTTTGTCATATCTCTAAACCCTATGGAAGAACGAATTAGTGAGGGAAATTATCCTTTCAGTATACACCAGGGGGAAGCCTGAATCAATAAATTTATTAATAAATATTCTGGAAATACGTGAAAGAAAATGGTACAATGTTTGAATGTGGCAATTATAATGTCGAGAGACATACGAGTGACCTTTCGTCGCACTGGAATCGCCGATTGGAATTATATTAATTATTTTGATTACTCACTTCTGACCCAGTAGGAGGGAATTCGCATCTCGCGCTAAATGGGACGTCGCGATTCCGGACCCGATTCCGATCGAGTTCGGAACCGGTCCGGAATCGATCCTTGAATGAGCCTACGCGGTTCGATCGGCTCGCCCACGCCTCTCGTCTTAAAATCCAGGCGTAAAGTCCCAATCCGGGCCTATAAGGCACTCGAACTGCGTACTTTCACGTTACGGCGGTGCACCGTAAAGAAACTCTACGCGCGCCCGTAGTGTTCTAAAAGCTAGCGAGAGATACGGCGTAACGGGTCTTCCTGAGTAGGTCGATACGTGCAGCAGTTGACACCGATTAGGACATCTAGGGAAACGCATAAATTAATGGAATCCTCTCGATAGATCCTCGTTCCACGTCCCATCCCCGACTTTCCCCGTTTTGTCACGACACCTCGTAAACGCCTAGAGAGGAGGTACTTCGATGTTACCTGTGAATCTCTCACCTTACTGTTTTTCTTCCCCTTTAACTCGCACTTTTGAAAACATCACCATGAATTTCATGTATTCCAGAGTTACGAAAATTACGAATTCGACATTGCGTAAACGCCTCGAGGAGGAGTCTTCGGTTTTACCTGTGAATCTCTCGCCTTATCCTCTTTAGAAAAATATCTTCAGGAATTTCATGTATTCCGGAGTTAGTATCAAAATTCCGATTTCGATGGGATGATTTTAATGCAACGCTCGTGAATTAATCGTGGAGTTTCGAATTTTTTGGCACTTTATCAGGAAATTTATTAAACGTGTAAGGTTAAATTGATTATAAATTTAGTATGTTGTCTATCGGCTTCTAATTCACGTTCCATGAATTTATTACAGTTTCCTTTTTTTTTTCATGCGGAGTCTTATCCGACCTCGAGGAAAACTCGAGTTTCTCGGCCATTTTTTAAGTCCGCTATCGGAATCTCTGGGTGGGTTTCATCGAAGACTCGATATTTTACGCCACGTTAGTCATCCTCGGGTGTTTTCTCTTGGAAATCTCGCTCTAAAGTAGAATCGAATCGGTACTGGTTTCTGAATTCGAGTACCTAGTAAGCAGGGTAGACGCACGTATTAATATCACGTATATCGGCGTTATGTATATCACTCGTTAATGTTGGAAATTGCGCCTAGGAAGGATATTTGGACAGAGATTGATGTACGTGACTTCTAATGCCATTACGTGCAGATCCGTGTAAACATGTCAGTATGTTGTAATCTCGTTGTACCTAGATCCCCAGTCTCAACAAGACCTCAAGAATTCAATTCAAGACCCTGCCGAAATTCCCCAAGAATTGTGGATAATGTTGATAAATATTTCACATTAATTTTGGACCGTCTCGATTACCCTGCTTCTGCAATGAGATTTCCAAAAGTTATATTATCGAATAAATTCCGTGATAATGGGTGATCGTTACCATCGGTTTCCTCTTGCCGGGAATTTCGCGGCCGGCAATTTAACCAGAGAAGCCGAGACTTTCGAGGAAAAGTCTAAATGGCTTTTCGGGCCGGATTTCCACGAGAGTAGGCTAAGTCGGGACGAGAGGCCCCTCTAAAGATCAAACGAGGTGCGCAACAGGTCGGGTCACGAGGTCGTCGAGGTGGAGGGACCAAAATGGCGGTCGAACGGTTCTCGAACGGCGAACGCTCAAAGGCGGCTCCTACGTTTTCGAATTAGGAATTCCGGAACGGTTTCGACACGGCCAGTCATTCGTGAGAGAACCTCCGTTTGCGGGAGTTTACCTGGAACAGCGTTTTTATCCCCGCGCCGTGTACTTTGCCCGATAACGTATCATTTCTTTGGGTCTCCGAACGCCATCGATGGCAGTTTAACAGATCGTTAGGACTCACATTCCGGGTGTTCTCACAAGTACGCCATGGGCAATCGAAGAAAAAAAGGAGAAGAAAAAAAAAAGACCCACAATGAGAGAATAATATCGAGGTTTTCATCGCAGGAAATCGATCTTATAATTTTCGCGTCTGATCCTTCGGCGTCGGTGACCAATCGATACTTTCCTATTTATTCTCCTCGATAATGCCTATCCTTTTGTGTACCGACGTGACCTCATCCTCGACGGTGTTTACCCGAGGCTTCGGAAACACAAGTGACCAAATGGCGCGACCCAGTTCGATTTATTGCCGCGATAACGCCGATTATTGTCAATTACCTCCCTTATCGGGAATTCGGACTTCGCCTCCTCGAGGATATCAACAAGGAGCGCCAAAGGACCTCCGTATCGCGGTTTCTCTCCGGGAGCGGCGGTCGTGGAAAACCATTTCTAGTCCTTGTACTCCTTTCCCGCTTTCCAATCCGTGGACGATAAAGACACTTAATGCAGCGTGCAATTATCATCGAGCCTCATCAAATCTTATCCCCGAGGATACTTTCCCCTGTGGGAAGTGGCCCGAGGGGCAAAAACGGGCCTCGGACATATTATCACGTATCCGCGCGCATTTCCGCGATCCCATGTGGATTTATCCGCTAAAAGAAGTCGCGAAACTCGTCACGGGTCGAGATATCAATTCTATACATTCTTCGCTCTCTAAGTCATTTAATTAGCCGCTCGAAATTTCCGCCTCGAATTAAAAAAAAAAAAAATCGACCTTTCCGAGGTTCAACCCCGCGCCTGGATCTCATCTCGACCCCACGAAACGGACGCAAATATATATATTTGATGCTTAAATAATAATTTAATCAATATCTTATTTTATATCTGGGAATTATACTCGGAATTGTGTGGGAGGTTGAAACGAGGAAAAATCCGTCCTCTCGTAAACGGTTTCCCAGGTCGGCCTGGAGCGGGCCGAAATCCTGGCCGCCTTCTTCAAGGCCGACCACGGGAGTCGATAAACCGAAATGGAAGGCGAAATGACGTGGGGGGAGGTGAAAAATCCACCAGTCGGGAGTATTTTTTCCCGTGAAAAAACCAGTCGGCCACCAGGGTCGAACGGCCGGGCGCATTCCGCGAGGCAAGGCTGGACGCGAGGCAAACAAGGACGATCCCCGTCCGGTCTCTCTCCGGCGAGTGTCGCGTTTTGTGGGTGTATTTTAAACTCGACTCTCCTGCGGCCCTCCCCTCACCCCCGGGACCTCCCGGGACCTCCCGGGAATTTCGGGCGTTTCGCCGACCAGGGGAAAGAGGGACGTGGTCGGCCCTCCCGACGCTATTTCGGACTCGAGACGGACCTAACAGCCATGGAGTGCCATTTCACTACGCGTTTTCCCTTTAGAGAGGTTTCCAGATTTTCCGTGAACGTCGTTAGGTGTTTCGAAGCGTCGAGGAGGTCTAATGACACCTTTCGGATGGCCCGAAATTTTCCACCCCCCTGGGGATACCCTGGGGGGCGACGAAGAGGGGCTATCTGGTCATCGCGATAAGGTACGCGGGGGCTTGGAGAATATTTCAAGTCCTCGATTCGATCGAGATTCATCTTTTTTTTTTCCTTTTTTAAGGACGTTCCATCTGGGTGGAATTTTTTTGAGGGGTTTGCTTTGTCTTAAGGTCCTTTCTAAGGACCCTTCGGATCTGGGACTTGGAGTGGGGAATTTTTGAGATTCACGTAATCGGGCCCTTCGCGCCTATCATGCTGTGACATCCTGCAGGAGGGTCGGGATTCCGGAGACAATGGTCCTTCGTCGTTCTTAGTCATCGGTCCCAACAAGAGCAGGACGAGTAACCTCCCTCCGTTCTTCTTCGAGTACCCTTCGATCCGTTCGTAGAACTTGCTCCAGCAAAAACGGGACTAGTAAGGACAAGTGGACCCTTGCTACGTGCCGGAGATCTCTCGTCCTTCTTCCGCGGAAGGCTTTTTCTATACAAACAATGTCCTTCGAACACCTCCCTTGATATCTACTTCTCCACTTCGCCCCTACCGCTCACACATTTTGGGGTAGTGCCATTTTTAAATACATTCCGTATAAAATAACACATACTATTTTCTCCTATATCCATCTTATTCATTAACTAATTAATGTATCATTCCATTTAATTTATTAAGCCTTCACACCTGCCTCACCACTAATTCGCTCTCCATGAAATTGATAAGTACCTGTAAGTCTCCCAACATATATTTGCAATAATCCCATGATTTGCAATTGAATCCCCCGGAAAATAAATCCTAGAAAAGATAAGCGTATCGCTATCTCATGCCATTTCCTCAGGGTTAGATGTCGAACTTTCGAATTTCCCTCGGTCAAAATATTCCATTTGACATTCTCATTCGCGCTTAACCGAAAATATTTCCCTGGTAGTCGGTAATTAAGGCCCGATGTAAGTAAGTTACAGGGAATTAAAAATAAAGATATGTAAATAATCGACGCGCTTACTGATAGTTCTATCGGGTCTTCGATAGGGCCGCTTCCTTGGAGGAAATCGGGCCCCTCGATCGCCGACCAAGTAGGGCCCCCTTCCAGAGGGGCCCCTCGGCCGAGCGCCTGCACCTGTGCACCTTCCACCTTCCTAGGTGTTGCGTTTTCACCTGGCAGTCGATGCCAGGACAGCGCGCCGAGAGGATCCTCGCTCGGCGCTCGCGAGTCGCGACCAGGGACGAGAGACTCTCTCTCTTTTCGGGATTCCGCGATAATACTTGAATACTTGAAAAAGAGCCTCTAAAAAATCATCTCGCACGTTGTTCAGTGCCCGAGTGTCCGTTTAACGTTTATCCAATTTTCGGGATTTTTCGAACATTTGGATGTTAAAAAATTGTATACATTTATTAAACGCCAATGCATCGAAATCTCTTCATTCTAGAGGCGCCTTCGCGAGTATTCTCGCGATGTGCGGATTAATTACCAAAGGAGTGCTCATTGAATTTCGCTAAGTGCAACTTTACTCTTTTTGACCCTCCTTCGGAGTCGGATCACAATGGACACGGTCTTGGAGAAAATGGGGAGGCTGAATCTGGTAAATTTTAATTATATATATATATATATACATATATTTTTTTTCAAGTCACGATTAATATTTGCGAAGCTAGAATCGCAGTTGAGGCTTTTTAAAGAGTCGCGAGTGCGAAATTTTGAATTATGTATTTTTTTTACGTTGGAATTATATATATATATTTTTTACGTCACGATTAACGTTCGCGAATCTAGATTCAAAATTGAAACTTTTTAAAGAGTCGCCCGTGCGAAATTTTGAAATCAATTTTTTTTTTTCGAGTTATGATCGACGTTCGCGTATCTAGAATCGAAGTTGAGGGGTTTCGAGTGAACCGGGAAGTGCGAGTCTTTTTTTAAAGAGCCGCGCGTGCCGGACACGTGTCATCGTTAGGTGCGTTCCCAGGAGGGAAGGCCTTTGAGAGTTAATTGCGAGAGCTAATGAGTAGGCAATTTCATTTGCTGTTTTCGAGGACTTAGCCTAGTACTCGGACGTACGGAGGACTTTATGAGACGACTTGTGCCTTTTTCACCCGCGGATCGTTCCTTCGTCGCGGTCATCACCTGTAATTAGACAAAAACAGGTGACGTGTGCCTAATACCCCAAGGGGTTTGATTAATATTAATATATTCCTGGAATTACTGAACCGCGAGGCATTATTACGGCGAAGAATGAAGACTTTCCGGCTCTGCAGGAAAACGTTAAAAATAAATCCGATTTCTAGGTATCGCTATTCAATTGTACTCTGGAATCGAATCGCGAAAATCGCATGGATGCGTCACATCGGTCTACCATAAATCCCGTCAAAAATGGCCATTGCAAAGTAAACCCCGTCGTTAAAGCCGAGGATCGTATCTCAGGGATGCAATATATGTCCCCCTCTGATAGGAATTACTGCAAAATCAGAGAATATCGTGGGAGCCCCTCGAAAGCCATCGTATTTTACTCTCCTTCCGCACGTCTTCCGCGTGCGGAAGGTATCATTAACGGCATAACGAAGACGTCATTAATTATTAACGTCGTGTCGTTTAACATTGGCGATATATTATCGAAAACTTTTGAAATCTCTCTAATCAAAAACGCGAATATACACCTACGAGTGTACCGTATTTCCATAAAACGTCTCGTAGACCTTTAATGAATTATTTTTAACTGCCCCCAAGAGGGCCGAATTTCATTGAAAAAAAATTGAAAATTCGTCAGGAGGGTTTTTACCACTGGTAAAAAATTTCCTTCTTAGGTGTGGAATTTCTTTTAGGGGGAAAAAAAATTGTATTTTTATTCTTTGCTGGTCCGAAGAGACTCGAGACGAAAGATATTGGTCCAGTGTTTACGGATCCGGCGTCTCGCGAGAACAGGGAGCGATTGTGATATTTCTTAGTTCGTTAGAGTTTTATAGCCTCGAAACGACCGGTTTGCGATAATATCGGTCCACATTTCCACGTGGTATCGGCTCGCGCGGATTCGTTCCGCGCACGTAGAGGCGCGGAAACGAGCGTTTCGACGTTCAGACCCGGCCTGGTCTTTAATGTTTTCCTACCTCGGTGTTTTCACGAGCGCAGATCGGTCGATTTATCGATGCCGATCGGCCCGATCGTATAATTTTATCGGCCGATATCACCAACGAGGTGTCTCCCTTCTACGCGCGTCCGCGTGCCAGGAATTACCCGCGAATTATCCGCCGACGGAATTGCAGGTCGGATCGATTTCGAATCGCTACCGTGCGATTGCAATCGACCAAGAAAAGGAAAAACTCACCGGGTGCAGGAAAATCGTTTTCACTCCAAGACACCCTTAAGCTATTCCACAAGGAAACGGCGAAACAAAGTAAATGCAAGAAATTCGTGAAAACGGGTATTTGGACATTTCATTCATGCGATTCATTTATATGCAAATGCAATTATTCTCCTAGGTGGATGATTATTTGATCAGTGGTTATTTCTATTTTTTTATTTTCCGAGCCGAGTCTAGGAGCGTTTAGGGGTAAATTCAATTTTCCCACGATTAAGGGGAAATTATCAAATACGGTGCGAAAGCCTCGGCCCCCTTGCGCCGGGCTCAATTTCATTCGCGCAATTTTCCCGGGCCCTAATTACGGGTTATGTAAAGAGGAGCGAGGATCGGCGAACAGATTTCAAGGCGTATTGTGCGTCTCCATTGTGCGTTGAGAATTACGCTATCAAGGCACGCGTCATTCCGAAGTGCGGGAACGAAGGGGTGACGTTATCGCGGGGTATCGGGGAATCTTACAGCATGTTGTGGTAGATTTTTTGATATCATGTTATACCGTTTATTTGTTATATAATGCGCACTTTATAGCGATATGGAAGTGGCATCGGAGGGGCCTCATTCATCTGGAGGCGCCGAGTCGTTTGAAATTTGACAACGCGAATTTGGAATTTGGAAGTTTGACACCCATGATATGACTTTTTTAAAAATTTATTTATGAACTTAGAAATAAATTTATATATAGTTTCATCATCGATTGACTTAAGACGCCACTTTGATATCGCCTTAACGTGATATGAAAGGGTCATACTCTATACATATAAATGTGAAAATATGTACAAAACTTTTGTCCAAACTGGGTGTGCCGAATTATTTGAAACTTTAATACGTGATTATGGAGGCTCTAAGGAAGAACGCGATACTCGTAAAATGTCATTTTTCGAAAAAAAAATCCTTTTTTGGGTTCTTGTCAGAGGTAATACAAATTTTTCTTTCGAAAAATGAAATTTCACGAGCATTGCGTTGGGGCCTCCATAATCTCGCGATGATGTTTCACAAATGATTCGGTACCCCCAATTTGGAGAAAAGTTTTATGAATATTTTGACATTTTGTTATGTATATATGACACTTTCATATCACCGAATTTCATATCTCGAAGCGGCGCCTCGGTCGGATATCTTCAAAGGATCATCTTCGCTATGGATGTCTGTTCATAACTCGTAGGTGTCAGGTCGAAAGGAGGAGGGAAACAAAGAGACGGAGAGGCCGATTCTCGGGGGAGCTCGTTAGGCTCACCGTTACATGAAACGAAACTGGGAAACGGTCGCCGATGATCGCGAAGTCGCGGATACTTCGCGCAGAGGCGGATCGACAGGGAGCCGCACCTAAATTCTAGGTTTCCTCGATGCACCGTGCACTTTGCATCAATGCAAACCCGTAGGAGCTTCATTTACCGAGGGAGGCTCGGAATTGCAATTTTGTGCACTCCGCATCAATGTGAACCCGTAGGAGTCTCATTTACCGAGGTAGGATCGCAATGGCGATTTTGTGCACCGCGGATGAACGAATTTCGATCGACCGAGAACAGCTGATCGATTGGCTGCACCCGATGCTCTCATGAGGATGTCCCGTCTTGCGACGAAGTGAGATCCTCTCCTGGGACTATCTCATTTTGAGATAATCTCTCGAAACGATCCGCTGTATGCCGATGTGAGATGACCCTCCCGTGGGAAAATCTCACCTCGTGATAACCCTCTTGTGAAATAATCATCCTATATTCCGGCCTGATGAGATAATCCTATTTGGAAAAAAATCCTCTCTTGAGATGATTATACTTTCTTCGTGTACTCTACGAAGACGAAGATATCCCCAAGCCCACGGTTATCAGGAAACTCGGAAGAGTTTCGCGGCAAATACATTTAGAAGCATGCGGGGACGGCACCGAATTCTTCACGCCGAAGTTCGGCACATCAATTTGATAAATATTTTTTACTCTCGGACAGGAGAACTTATCATGGATATATGTTTGGCGTAATAACTATCTAAGCTCCACTGTTTTGGCCGGCCACGTGGACGTCCTAACCCTACTTCCGTGACCCCTCTAGTGGGACTTTTGCAGCCATCCTAACCTTACTTTTATGACCACCCTTACCCCACCTTTGTAGCCATCGTAACTCCACTTTTTCAAAAGTCCGACCGTCATTCCAGCCGCGATTTGTCTCCGCGTAATTCGCTAACGAGCCCATTGGCATTCCTCGTCCGGGAGTCGTTTCGCAACGACGAGGAGCACGGCACCGATAAACCGATTTCCCTCGAGAGGACCTTTACGAGGCCATGGTCTGCGTCGAGGAGAAAATACAAAAGCAACGACGAAGGGAGACGTCGCGAAATCGTCGCGCCGCGCAATTAGCCTCGCAATGTGCCGGGTGCACATTGCGCGATCCTCCCGCTTACGAAAGGACCTCTACTCGTGGTTGAGGGATACGTGTATAGAGTGCCAGGACGAGTACAGGCACCAGTGTACGCGCGAGTAACGCGAGTAATGCGAGTGATGAGCCCGAGTGCGCGCCCAGCCGCGAGGAACGAAAAACGGCGGCGGCTCTCACCGGAGATATTTCAAGAGTGAAACCTGGCCCGGGTGATCCGCTTCCGACCCTTTCCTAGTCTCTCTTTTCCCTCGGGATCGATCGATCGATCGATCGATCCGATCGGTTCGCCTCTTCCTCCAGACGTACGTTCCGATAGGTCGGGCCTTTACTTGCCGCCTCGTTTCTTCGTTTCCTCGTTTCCCCTATTTTTCCTCGCCTCGTTGCCTCCGTGCAAAAGCCTCGACTCCGTTGCATCTAGAAGCATGCAAATTACTAGACGGAAGAGTTCCCGACGTTATGCATTCTGGTCGTGGGGAATTATTTTTTGAGGTTCTGACGGGTACAATCGCGGGTGATATGAGAAGCGGCTCGCTGTTAATGCAGATGGGAAATGTTGAATCAGTCCCTTTGGATGAGACACGCTCTTCTTTTTTTTTCTTTTCTTTTTTTTTATGGGACTCCATCGAACTGGATGAAATTTTAGTACTCGAGAGGAAGGGGGAAATGCTCGTAAAAAATTGGGTTTTGTTTCGAGCGACTGGTTTCGAGGAGTTCGTATCCCCTTAAAGAGGTCTGCCGAGGTGTTCCCATGTAAAAATGAAATCATAGACCTAGGATGTAGTCCCGTAATTCTTCGCGCCTCTTGCCGGCTCTACTAAATACAAGTTACGCGCGGAGATATAATATACAATGAGTGTCATGATAAAACAATAGCGGTTTTGAGTGCAACCTGGGGCCATAAAGCGCATGGATGCATATGCTCTTGGCGCGAACCGTTACCGGACTACAGGGTCATCGACGTCGCTCCAATTTTGAGGTTTCCGTCCTGTTCTCACTTGTGGCAAAATTGAGTTCGCAAAAAGAGTCGATTTTATTCGGTGAAATATTACCGGAATATTAATCGATTCTGATTTCGGTGCAAAATTCCTGGAACATCAGTCGATTTGATTTCTGTGCAAAATTCCTGTAATATCAGGCGATTTGATTTCGGTGAAAAATTCCTGGAATGTAGGTCGATTTAATTTCGGTGCAAAATTCCTGGAATATCAGTCGATTCCGATTTCGGCGCAAAATTCCTGGAATATTAGTCGATTCTGATTTCGGTGCAAAATTCCTGGAATATCAGTCGATTTGATTTTGGTGCAAAATTCCTGGAATATCAGGAGAGGCCGAGAGTCCCGAAGAATCTCTTCGGGCGCCCCCGAGTGGACCCCGAAGATCGAAGCTCCTCGATTTTTTTCCCGGGATCAATCGGATCGAGGAGCAAAGCAAATCGAGAACGCAAGACCAATCGGGATGGATCGAATGCCGATCGATTGCCCTCGTCGGTTTCGAAACGACCGAGACCGCGGGTGGCACGCAGGAATTCGACGGCTATCGGCCGAGCCTTTCTACTTCTTCTCTCTCTTTTTCCGGGCGCTGTAACGATCGGCTAATCGGGAAAGTAACGGCCCGTGAATTAACATACGTCAAAAGCCCACTCCCCCCGAAATCCTGCATCGCGGCGAGACGTAGAGGCGTCGAAAGTCGGCGCCGCCATTTTGGAGAACGCCGCGCGTCCTTAGGAAAAGCGAAATCCGATTTTCGTGCGGTGGAAGTTTTTCCAGGTATGCTTGGATTGACGTCAACTCGTATCTTTAGACTCGACTATGATGGCATTGGTCGCGTGCTTCTCACGTGATGGCGATGGGCTTAACAAGTCATCGCCGCCACTTTGGAGAACGCCGCGCGTCATTTGAAAAGCGATACCCGACGACGCAATCAACGAAAAGTTATGAAATAATTTTATCACCTCAACCAACTCGACTGTATATTGCGTTTATTTTTACGTTTGGGCTCGATAATCAGTGGACATTTTCGCGTGACTCTTGCTCGATGGCGATCGGCTTTGGGACTCATCGCCGCCATTTTGGAGAACGCTACTCCTCTTTGGCAAATGCGAAACCCGACGATATGTAATCAACGAAAAGTAACCAAATAATTTTATCACGTTAATGAATGTTTAGTACTGTTGAAAGGTATCGATATTTTATTGTTTTTGTTGTTTTTTTTTGCGTTTAAGCTCGATAATCGGTGGAAATGGTCGCGTGGCTCTCGCGCGATGGCAACGGACTTTACGAGACTTGGCGAGAAAAGAGGCTAGGCCTTGCTCGCTAAACGGCAGTTTTACGGCACCGACCCGAAAGAATCCATGGCGCTAACAGACGGGAAAAATAGTCCGGTGATTACGCGCATATATGGCGGACAAATACGGGCTCGATGCCTCGTAACAGCTCTCGCGAAATTGCAGGTTAATAACGTAACGGCTCGACAATGCGCGCGGACAGAGGCGGGAGCGATCTCGTTAAACGGGCATTCTCTCATTGACATTTTTACGGTCCTTTAACATTTCCTTCCCTAATGCATCGTTTCCATTCTACCTCCGACACACTTGCGACACCCTCATATAGACTTCGCGCTCTGAAAGCAAATTATCCGTGAATTTCGTACATTTTTAGAAATCATGCCGAACACCGTAGAACGAGTTTCGAATTCCTTGGACTTTCATTAAGACACTTTTTATTGCCTGTGAAATACAGAATTGTTTATTAAGAGAAGGACATGCCCCAGTTGACTTTAGTAGCTTATTACGAGCATTATTGGAGCTCGTTCGATTTTTGGGGCCTTTTCTCTCTTGGGAATTCTTTCTTTCTTTTTTTTTCTTCTCTCTTTCTGCTTTCTTCCTCTCGGGACGATCGTAAACATCTTGGAGGGATCTTCTCGGCGACTTTCTCGATCGGCCGGCACTCGGTAAGAAGTTTCGTCTTCTCTTCAGGTTTGGCCTCGACACCCGCGATCGGAGTCGCGTGACGTCGAAAGTGTTCCCGCAGGTTTTATTCTCGCCGTTGACGCACGTCGAGAAAAATCGAGCCCGACGATTATGAGATGCAATTTTGCTTTACGACCCTAACGAGTCGACTAGATAGAGGAGGGATCCTCTTTTATGCGGCGGATTATCAGCGCGTTACTTAACCCACGACCCGAGGGTCGATTCCAATCGATCCCTATCAATTCCCACCAGGCGGCCTCTTTCTTCTCCTTCAATGCACCTTTTCTCGTATAAAATATGCCTGATGTTAATTTACGTTAATGTAAAAAAGCCTCGCCTTAGCGGAATTAAGGCTTCGCTCGGTGACGTTACCTTTGCGGATTTCTTATTTTTATTTATTAATTCTTTTTATTCAGGGCTTTCTCGCTTAGGTGGAAAACAAACCTCTCTTTTTCTCTCTTTTTATTATTCCTTCACGTATCAAACATGCGCGATGTTAATTTGCGTTAATTTACAAAAAGCCTCGCCTTAGCGGAATTAAGACTTCGCTCGGTGACGTTACCTTCGCGGATTTCTAATTTTTATTAATGTTTCTTTACTCAGGGCTTTCTCGCTTAGGTGGAAAACAAACCTCTCTTTTTCTCTCCTTTTATTGTTCCCTCGGGAGCGCGTTGGGAGAAAGCGAATCGTCGACAAGGTGCCAACAAGCCATGTTGGAATTACTTAAAGACGTTTACTTGCGACGAGTACTCGTCTCGCACGCGTTTAGACTCGGAATTCGAGTTCCGGGAGTCTGTCGGGAACGCGACTCGAAAGTCCCGGGTCTTTTTCGCGAAAAGCGCGGTTCCGTGTCGACTTTATCGCACTTCCGGTACACGACATCGAGTCACTTTCGTGACCCAGTCGCGAGACTTGCCTAAGAAGCAAAACACGGCAATCCCGGTCGAGCCTGATGACATTTTAAACGAGCACCCGAGATTTTTTAGAGACCCGAGAGAGATTTAAACAATTTATGGAATTTAAATTACATGGATCTGTGCACTGCGAGGTAAATAAAAAACAGCGAAGTGCAACATCAGTTATCCCCCGACTTGATGTTCAGAGATATAAGAGATAGATTAAAGATATTTCTGAAAAATTACCAAAAAAAAAATGTTCAAAGGCTTTTCAACGATTTTTCATATGAGTTGTTGGAATTTATTTACTGGTATAAATTCTCTGGACCTTACGGGCAGGTCTTGAATCGTGAAATTTCAGTACTTGAGAATACGTGATTTATTTTGACATTTACATGAGAAATTGAAACGGCCGACCCAGGGGAATTTCTGCCGGCGATATGAGTTAGGTAATCACGCACGTAAATTTCGAGTCCACGGGGAATGCCGATCGATACGCGACGGATTTACCTTGACACGGTGGGAAATGGCAAGCCCGATTCGTCGAGGCGGTGTAAAGTCAACGGGAACGAGTCGCCTTGAAGATGTCACGAGGCTGATATGCATACGCGTCCGATAAATTACATCCTACAATTGGTCGAACTTTCGCGCGATAAGGAGGCCGTACTTTCGATAAGGTGTCTACCTGGTGTTTCAACGGAGTGTTTCGCGGAGCCATACTCGGAGAACACGCGAGAGTCTCGTCGGCTTAAAATCATTTATTCAACATAGTCAAGATTTAGAGTTTGGTAAAATTCGAGGCAAATTCGGGGATTGAAGTATATTCCGGCCACTTCCCTTATCGGGTACCCACCGTTCCCCTGGAACATGTTATCAACGCCACTTTCATGGAGACGGTACCTTTCCTGCGTAGGTATTCTTCGGAGGTGTTCAAACGGACAGGGTTCAGACCGAGGGGAAAATAATTTTTTCAGGGATTTATTTAGACGTCACCGTATTTTTTCTTAGATACTTAAGGAGCGAGACTAGGTGGAGAAATTGTGATAATAATTTAATAAGGTCTCTTCTTTTATTTCTTTCCAGCGGATTCCCAGCTGCCCGGTTAAGAGTCCGCAGCCCTTGAAGGAGTTCGTCGGTCGCTGCCAGGCGATGCCGTCTCGCGTCAAGAAGTCCTTCTGCGGTTGTCTTCAGGTGAGCAAAGCACTCCTCCGAGATGGCCCATCCTCGCATTATCGATCCTCCACACTCGAGGCCCATTAACCCTGCGGAAGGGAAGTGTTACGAGAGGTCCAAGAGCTCTCGAAAGGACGACGTTCCTTCGCCTCGACCCTCCCACCTGTGTGCACCTCCGTAGTTCCGGAGGTATGGGGTAAAGAAATCTCCAGGAACCTGGAATTCGCCACGATCCTCGTTTTTTAAATCCTACTCGACACAAGATATTCCTTCGGGACCCCCCTATTTTTTTTTCTTTCTTTCTGATAAGGTAAATCGCGGGGTCTCAATTGCCCGAGCCGTATCAATTAATCCAGGAATTAATTAAAATGTTTCTTCGCCCTCGGCGCCTCCTAATTCCATTATTCGCGTATTCCGTGCCATTCAGAAATATCCTTTCGAGTCCCTTCTATTTTTTTCTTTTTTTTTTATTTCTAAATAAGGTAAAACGCCGTGTCTTAATTGCACGGGCCAGGTCAATTAATCACCGAGGAACCCGTTCCTTGTCTTCGTTCCCTGTGTTCGACGCGAGTGTGGGACGCGACCTGGGGAAAAATCTCAACACCGAACACACCCAGCCCCGTCGAGGGGGAATTCTCGACTTCGTCGTCCCGAAGACGGGCGACACTCGCGACATAATCGGCCTACGTGTTTTCCACGCAGCACGTTACTCGAGTTCCCCTGGATAATGAACCTTAGGCACCTGGGAGAGGCTTGGCTCCTGGGAAGCCGAGACCCAGTGGGCGTTCCGTCTCCTGGAGCAAATCCATCGATGGACTTTTAGAATCGCTCAATGGTCCGCACCGTCATGGGCTAGCCAATATCATTCATTAAAAACAAAAGAAAAATCACCCCCGTCGATACACACCCTGATGGAATAATTTTACACACCTGGTGACATCGCAAATCCCATGGGAAGCGATAATCATATATAAATGAATTAATATATTAATTCAATAAATAGACCGGCATATCTAGCCATTTTATTCAGTCTAGAGGTGTACCGTCCCAGGATATACGAGTGCACCGAGAAAATAAATCCATCAAACCAAAGGAATATTTTATTCATTCAAGGGAGTTAAATAAATTGTCAGGATTACAAAGAAATCCTGCATTCGATTTATTCCAGTTTGAGTGAAATATCATTATTCTCTTAATTGATAAAATATATATCTGGTTCGATGATACTTTCTTCACAGGGTGGGTATATTTTCCTTGTCCCTCCCGTTCTCTTCGGGGAACTTTTAAGAGATATCCTTCCTGGCGAGGTCTCCCGAGTTTTTCTCCTCGACGATATGTCGAGGATTTATATGAATTAATCCACTCGCTTTCATCCCAGGGTCGCAGAAACGCGACCGGACGATCAAGATCGCGGGGGTCGGTCTTTGGAATTCCTTCTCGAAGGCAGCTTGGCGGAATTCCATTTCGTGTCGGGCTTCGAAGGACAGCTGTCGCCGTGACGGATATCTCGCTCTACAAAAGAAATTCCCCGGTAAATCGCTACCGTTATTTGTCGCCTGACGTCACTGGTACCACTGACCCTGATTCGTGCGCGGGACGTCGCGCGCGGTTTTTTTTTCTTTTTTCTTTTTCGCCTCTTTCCGGGTTTCCAGGCCCAGGGTTAGGCGTGACGAAGAATCGGCCGTTAAATAATTCAAGCATTCGAGCCGGCGAGGAAGGAATCGAATATTCTGACCGCGGATCGCCGAGGCCTTGCAATGTCACGGTCCCGTCCGTCTTCCACGGGGTCTTTGACATCGTGACCGTAAAGGCGAGCACCGGCGCAGGTGATTTTCGAAACGGCGGAATAATCGCCCGGACTCTCCACCTGGTTGTCCTCGCTCTTCCGCGAGGTCGGAAATCGATCTCGATGGAACCCCTGTATCCTGTATCCCGTTGATCGTCCAGGGCGACGATAGAAATTTCACGAGATGGATCCTATGAGCATGAAGAATCTCGAAATTCATTTCTTTTTTTTCTTCGATTAAACCTCGAGTTCATTCATCGAACTACAAATTATTAGAGGACGAGATGAAAATAATTCCACCGAGAAAAAAAAATCGACCTCGATCGAACCCTTGTATTCTGTATCCCGTGATCGTCCAGGGCGACGATAGAAATTTCACGAGATGGATCCTATGAGCATGAAGAATCTCGAAATTCATTTCTTTTTTTTCTTCGATTAAACCTCGAGTTCATTCATCGAACTACCAATCATTAGAGGACGAGATGAAAGTAATTCCACCGAGGGAAAAAAAATTCATTAAACCAAAAAGAAAATATTCTTTCGAGTGGTAGGAAAGAAATATTGCGTTAATTTCAAGAATAATTATTTGGCTCAAAATGAACTGTCACAATTCCGATACAAATGTGGCATTTAATTTAGTCGAACTTATTCGAGTCGAATAAGTCTTTGGTTCGATAATATATTTCCTTTTTTCGGTGTGGTGAAATATTAGGAAAAAAAAAAAAGGGTCCTGAGTTCATTTTTTTATTCCACCCGTGAAGTGCAGCAGATTTTCTCAATTTAAAAAATGGAGGATAAAAATCCAGAGGCCTCGATCGAGCGATCCGATCGATAAATGTCAGGCGGTCACGTTTCCTGCGACTTTGCATTTTTCCGCCGACGTCCGAGCACGCGAGCTCGCGGCTCTCGAGCCATGTCCGAGCCCGGACCGCACGCGCCTTCTCCGATGCGTGATCGACATTTATTATACACGAGAACGTTTATTCCTCCCGAGATCGAGCTCCCATCTCCGCGCCCCTCCCTCGCGGTGTCTCCTTTCGCGCTCTTCTCTTTGCCCGCCGAGAGCGCATCGTCCTTTCCGCGTGGTCTTGCACGCAGGGCAAGATCCTGCCCGAGTGCACTCATCTGGAGATGCGCTTAACGGACCCTCCAGGACATGCCTGGATAAGCCGTTTCCGTATCGATGGAGGCGAGGGATCAATGAGTCCTGCGTCGTTCACCTGTCGCACCGGCGAAGGACCTTCGATCAGCTGATCGCGATTTAAATGCTCCTGGTCATTATTTTTTGGATTTTATGAATGGAAAATATATTTATACTGCGAGTAGGATCGAAATCCCTCTTCTCGCTATCTCCGGAATGATTAGAAAATTAATAAGCGATGAGGTATTTAATATAGGAGGCTTCAAGGAGTATCGCTAATCGGGTTCCTATCGATCGGCGGGTTGGCGTTTCTTCGGATATCTCGCGAGGAACGCGTTTTCCCGCTTCCTGGGAGCGTTCCTGGGATTCCTTGCGCTCGTCCGCGGAATCCCCGGGTATTAAGGAGTCTTGACAGCGGAATGCACGCCGGCTCGTTGAACATGGCAGCGGATGTATAATTCTCGTCGTTTACAATCAACGAGGGAGGATGCCGGGCTCCCCAAAAAGAGAGGGTGCCCGGCATCTCCTGGGATTCCTCCATAGAGCGATCTCTCCGGGTGCCGAGTGACGTTTGCAAGCGATAAATCGGCCCGATGTGCGAATCGGTAATTTCCTAGTCACGTGTGAAAGTACCCGAGGAATCCAGGACCCATGCGGAGCCGGTCCCCTGACCTTTGCCGATGGTTATTGCCTCCTGGCTCGGAGTCTCCTGGATGTCGAGGATCTCTGCCGGCGATACGGTCATCTTCACGCTCCTTAAGGTCGTGGTCGGGACGTCTCTTATCCGGGACATTCCCTCCTAGAAGCTGGAAATTGAAGAAAATTCTCAGGACTTTCGGCTACCTCGAAGAGGGTCATAAGAATCCCCTAACGGGAGGATGTCTCTCCTCCTTCAGGAACCGACTCGATCAGGAAATTTCGCGCCTCTTGCCGACCTCGAAGGAAGTCGTAAAATCTGCTTAAGCTCGTTGTCAGGAGATTTTATCCGGTAATTTTCCTCCGGGAACCTCCCGGAGGGATTTCGGCTTCGCCCGGTTTCGGGGTCACTTTTACCGACCTGGATGAAGGCCGTCGAAATCACGTAACTTCTTGGTTGGGACATCTTTTTCCGGTATCTTTCCTCCAGGAACTTTCCGGTAAGCAGTCGTCGTCACGGAGTTGGCCACGAAATTTCGCCCAATTTCACGGCCACTTTTACCGACCTCGAGGAGGGGGCCTCCTTTCCTCTCTTTTCCTCCGTCCGTAGGACGCGTTTACGGCCGCAAATCGGCTCTATAAATTCCTTCGGAATTGACACAGAGATTTGCGTCTTTCTTTTCTTAAGGATGACGAGCCACCGGAGATCACCTACTGCGTGGTGGAGCACACGGGTACGCTCACGTTACAAGCGATGACGCCGACCTTGCCGATGCCGGCCGAGGAGGAGCTGAACAAGATGTTCCTGGAGCTGGTGGACGAGCTGGACCTGACCCAGGCCAACAGGCAGGCGGTGCTGGCGTTACCTGCGAACAAGAAATGGCAGATATACTGCTCAAGAAAAGGAAACGGCACTCTGGACGACGGGGGACTGAGGACGACGGACCTCAGCGGCGACCCCGAAGACTACATCGAAAGGGTGCGGACGATAGCAAACGTGAGTTCCTTTCCGCCTTCTTCGTCAATCCCCACACATATCCCCTCGAATGCACCCAGGCATGGAATCACTCGACTGAAAAGAAGAAAGGACGATACCGACCTCCTTAAGCCTCCAAATATGGAGCGAGGAGTGAAAGTGGTAGAACGTATGAATGGAGTCAGCTCGGTGTGCACCGCGATTTAATTGCGACACCTGAAAGTGTACGAAGTCGTAACAGGAGGAATTTTTCAGAGTCCGTTTTCCGAGGAGGGCGAAGAGGTGTCGAACCAGATGCGGCAGGTGGAGGCGCTGAAGACAGCCCTGAGGACCCAGCCCCATAGCTTCGTCCTCAGGTTCATCGAGCTGGATGGCCTTAATGCTCTTCTTCAGGTTCTGGGCACCATGGGCGCCGAAGCCGCGAATAGCAATTTGCATACGAGTGTCATTGGGTGTCTCAAGGCCTTGATGAACAATTCCGTAAGTCCCTGGCTTGGGGTAGTTCGATGTTGAAGAGGTGTTGGAGGTCCTGGTGGGTGTCTGGTCCTGATGGAGGAATTCGTTTCAGAATGGTCGAGCTCACGTGCTGGCTCATCCCACGGCCATTAACACGATCTCGCAGTCGCTGGCGACCGAGAACATCAAGACGAAGATATCCGTGTTGGAGATCCTGGGCGCGGTCTGTTTAGTCCCAGGAGGTCACCGAAAAGTCCTGGAAGCGATGCTGCACTTCCAGCAATACCACTCGGAGCGGACGCGCTTCCAGAGCATCATAAACGACCTGGACAAGAACTTCGGGATCTACAAGGATAATTTATCCCTGAAGACTGCCATCATGTCCTTCATAAACGCCGTGCTGAATTACGGGCCGGGACAGGTGACCCTGGAATTTCGGCTGCACCTCAGGTACGAGCTCCTGATGCTGGGCATCCAGCCGATCATCGAGAAGCTGAGGAAGTACGAGAACGAGACGCTGGACAGGCACTTGGACTTCTTCGAGATGGTCAGGAACGAGGACGAGAAGGAGCTCGCCAGGAAGTTCGAGAAGGAGCACGTGGACACGAAGAGTGCCACGGCGATGTTCGACCTCCTGAGGAGGAAGCTCGGCCACACGGCCGCCTATCCTCATCTCCTCAGTCTTCTGGAGCACTGCCTTCTGCTGCCCCGTGAGTTCCTGGCCAAGGCATATGCTCGTGGTGAGATTGCTTTACGATGTTAATTTCATGATGGAAACTCCTTTTCAGTGGATTACGGGTCCTACCCTCAGCACTGGTTGCTGTTCGACCGGATCGTCCAGCAGATCGTCCTGCAGTCCGAGGGTAGCGATCCTGGGAAGACGAGGAACCCCGACGTGGCGCCGATCGACATCAACGTCAAGGAAATCGTCCACCTTCTGGCCAAGGAGGAGGAGCTGGTGGCCGCCAGGAAGAAGGCAGAAGAGCTGGAGAGAGAGAACACGGACATGTCGACGAGGCTGGCCAAGAAGGAGCAGGAGCTGGACCTCAGGACGCAGGAAAAGGTGAACTAAAACTGTCCGTTTGGTCGTATTCGAATATGGGTAGAAGGGCTAGAAGAGTAACGAGAGGTCCTGCTTATTCAGGAAGACATGGAAGCCAGTCTGGCGAGGATCAAGGAGCGTCTCGAGAAAGAGACCTCGATGCACATCGAGACCAAACAAAGGATCTCGGAGCTGCAGGACACCATGGAGGCCCTATCCCGCCAGGTGAACAATGAGAAGATGGAGCGGAAACGGCTGGAGCAGTTGGTCGCCTCTGGCAGTCTTCCAGATGATGCTAAGGCCACGATAAAGATCGTCGAGGAAGAGGTTGTCGAGAAGGTCGAGGCGAAACCTACTCCACCACCGCCGCCACCTCCACCGCTGGCTCCTCCACCTCCACCTTCGCTGATGCCGGCTGCACCTCCTCCCATGAAGGTGAACAGAATTTCTGAGCCAGATCGAAAGTCAACCCTGAAGACCCTAGAAGAGGAATGGTTAGTTCCTCTGCATTGTATTTTCTAAGCGAGCGTTTCTATAATCCAGGTCGAGATCGTGAAGAACGTGCCCCAGCCGAGCAACCCCCTCAAGTCCTTCAACTGGTCCAAGATCCCGGAACAGAAGCTGCAGGGCACCATCTGGTCCGAGCTGGACGACTCGAAGCTGTACAACGTTATGGACCTCGAGTCCATCGACAAGATCTTCTGCGCTTATCAGAAGAACGGCGTCTCTGCCGAGGGGTCCATCGAAGATCTACGGAACCTGGGGAAGAACAAGAAGACCATGTCGGTCATCGACTCCAGGAGAGCCCAGAACTGCACGATCCTGCTCTCGAAGCTGAAGATGTCCGACAACGAGATCACCAGGACGATACTCTCGATGGACCAGCAGAACATTCTGCACATCGACATGGTCGAACAGCTACTCAAATACATTCCATCCTCGGAAGAGGCTGCTCTCCTGGACATGCACCAGAAGGACCTGCAGAGCAGAGCGGACTGCTTCCTTTATCAAATTTCTAAGTACGTGGTGATCGTTAATTGTCATTTCATGACCCGTTCCTAAAAGCGATTCGGAGTGTCTGTAAAAATTGTGTTGGTCCTCTTCAAGCTTCGTAACGAGTGCCGTTTTCTTCAGGGTACCTCACTACGAGCAGAGGCTGAGGTCTTTGCACTACAAGAAGAAATTCGCAGCGAGCATCGCGGAATTGACCCCAAGGATGCGAGCTGTCCTGGAGGCCAGCAGACAAGTGGCCAGGTCCAGACGACTCCGGAAGCTTCTGGAACTCGTTTTGGCCTTAGGGAATTATGTAAATCGCGGAAACGCTCGCGGAAACGCCTGCGGCTTCAGACTGGCCTCGCTGAACCGCCTGGTGGATACCAAGTCTTCCTGCTCGAAGGGCACCACGCTGTTGCACTATCTCGTCCAGATCCTGGAATCCCGCTTCAGGGAAGTCCTCGACATCGAGGAGGACATGCCGCACGTGAGGACAGCTGCCAGGGTCAGCATGGCCGACCTCCAGAAAGAGGTGGCGAACCTGAAGAACGGCCTGCAAGACGTTCAGAGGGAAATCGGTAAATACCGAGATATCTTGATTATAAATTCCATCGAAAGAAGAAAAGGAGGATTAATACCCCGTTTATAGATGGCGTTGTTAAAAGTAGCCATTTCTTGCAGAATTCCATCGAGGACAGTCGCAGGTGCTTCAAGGGGACATGTTCTTGCCGGCCATGAGGGATTTCCAAGCGCAAGCTACCTGTAGACTGGCAGAAGCCGAGGATCTCTTCCAGGACATGAAGACGAGAGTAAGCCATGATCTTTCTCTCTTCCTGGGATTAAATTCCGGTTTTAACTTACCCTATCTCTTTGATGAACCTTTTTTGGACCTTCTTTTATCCTTCTTCCAGTTCGACCGAGCCGTAAGACTATTCGGCGAGGACTCCGCAGGAGTTCAGCCGGACGAGTTCTTCGGGATCTTCGAGAACTTCCTTCAGGCCCTTGCCGAGGCTCGGCAGGACGTGGAGAACATGAGGAGGAAGGTCGAGGAAGAGGAACGTAGAGCGAAGCAAGAGCAAGAGGTAACTTAGAAGGGTTAGACTAATTTTTTGGAAGTATTCGAGTCGGTACTGACGGATCGAATCCTCGCAGCTGAAGAAGAGGACGATGGAGAGGAAGAACTCGAGGGAGGGAATCCTGAACAGCATCTCGCTGAGCAAGAAGAACGAGGCGAATGGCAACGGCCAGGGAGACAATAAAGGCGAATTCGACGATTTGATCTCAGCCTTGAGGACTGGCGACGTTTTTGGCGAAGACATTGCCAAGTTCAAGCGATCCAAGCGTCGTCCTGTGACGCCGAGCAGTCAGGACCCCCGAAGACACAGCATCCACCGCGAGGACTCCAGAGAAAGACACTAGGAAGCTCCCCTCACGTAGAATCAAAAGAGGAACGTTTACTCGTAGAGTTTCTGAAGAACCTTCGAAGGACGTCCACCATCGGACCGGCCTACCGACCACGAAGAGCAACCAGCTCCCACTACGGAAAACCGATGGTGGACTCTTTGAGGTTTCCTTGCTCCAAGACTGGAAGGACATTTTCGAGTGCCAAGGATTAAGAAGTATACACCCTGAGTTCCGGTCGACCTGGAGCTCTTCCGGCCCTCTTCAGGGGCCTCTTATGGAATTGTTTCCCCTCCACCGTACCTGGTGGAATGTCAAGTTCCTCTTTACTTTGTATTTCTCAGATACGACGGGCACTTTGAAGGACCTGGATCGGCTTCCAGCTCGAGAGGAACCCAGAACGCTTATATGATAGGTAGACTCGGGGTCGCGGTCCCTTGTAGAAACAGAAAATAGAGAGGAATCTACGCTGATATCGATATCTCGTCCATAGACTGGAGTTCCGATTCGCTGATAGAGATCCGCTAGTTGTCGATAGTCTACAGAAATCTTCATTCCAAACTCGTCACTCGACCGCGACTCCCGAGGAGGAAACACCTTACGTGATACTTTGTGTTGTACATAGACCCACTATACATATTGTATTTTTCTTTCCTGCATTCGCAAAGTCACTTTTTTTCTTTTCTTTCCTTTAGACCAATCGGTGCCGATTGGGGCAATCACGGAGTACATCGGTTAACGTAATGTCGGATAAAAATGAAACGAGGACCACGTCTACGAGCAAGTAGATTATTTAGAGCATCGATGAGACCGTTTCCCGATTTGCTTCGTTAATACTTTTCCTTTTCTTTTTCTTTCCACACTTCCCGTCTCATTAGGATGGCCCAAGAAAAGACCTACTACTGGTGATATACTAACGAGGGACGAAGTCTGATTTTCACTTAGGGGAGATCATTCGATCTTGATAGGGACGTCTCGGGATTTATCGCGAGTTCGGAAGGATTCACCTAATTTATCGGTGTGTAGATCGGGAGGGCGAATAGGACGGAAGGTATATATTCACTGTATAGAGGTCGTTGTTTTGTACGCTTTTTGTACTTTTGTAAATAACCAGTATCGATGTCGCGTATCTGTAGAGGAGGAGAACACTTAAGAGGGAATCTTTGTCCGATTAATATATTGCTATACGATATCCTATGTATTAATATATGAAGAAATATATATCCGAAAATACCTTTCTACTTATATCTTTTGACGCGATTCTGTGGATTTATCATTAATTGAATACCGTCGAGTCATTACCAGGAAACGTCTTTAAATGTACTGGAGAGTATTAGAGTATCTTCGATGATAAGGATTCCATTATGGACCGATGATAATTCGTCAGGTGCTGCCCTCTCGTGGAGTTCTGAAGAGATTTAAAACCCGCACGCGCTTTTACTCACGAATGGTACCATGTTTTATCACCTACCGACTGTACAGAGACCTGTATAACCTCCTCTCTTTTTTGTCCACTCACGCTTATACTTCCATCCTTACCTTCACTCTAAGTAGTTACATCGAAGTTATCCAGATGGTGCCACAGCCGCAAATGAACCGGCAGCTGCCAAAATCAAAAAGGGACGAACCTCTAACTCGAAAACGAACCTTCAAGAAAGAACAATAAAATGCACTTCAAAATGTTCCTTTCAATCCTTCTGGATTTTATTTATCAAGGCCAAGAACCCTACTACCTGTACAAAAAATTGCCGAAGGTCAATGGAACGTAAAACCTCCCTGAATTTCATTTCCTTCGTCGGCGCCATTTTAAGGTTCAAAAAGTAACGGCGAGAGAATATTGGTAAAGTAATACGAAAATCGTGGAAATTCCGGGGAAAATGGGGTCCTAAAGTTCTTGATTCTTTGGGAGGGACACGGGACACTGTTAAGATAATGCTGACGGTGAACTTTTGCTCAGAAACTTTATTTTTTACGTACACTAGCCGACTACTATATGCATGCGTTTCGGGTGCTCGGGAGGGGATCGTTTATTCCCGGAAGTCCCTCGCGAGTCCCTAAGTATCTTCACGATAATAGCAGTTCCTTTCCTGTGTCTCTTCCTCGGGAAAAACTGGTGATTACTTTTGCCTTCGTAATTGATTCCTTTTAAATTATAATGCGTCACGTTACATGTATAGTCTAGGACCAGCGGGCGTTCGGACGGTAGAATTCCCGGAGATTCGAGATCCTCGTCGATGTGCATCCTCCTCCTATTCCCGCCTCTTTGTCGACCAAATGTCAGGCTGAACAACGAAAGGAAAAGGAAAATCACGAGCCTATTTCCTTTTTTTCGACCTTTTTATCTACAATCGCCCCTGCCGAGAAATCACCGAGAACTCGGCCGACCTAGCGCGCCGCGACCGTATATATACTTTAATTTTTGTATTTATATTTATCCATATTTATATTTATATTCATATATATATATATATAGATTCATTTATTTATTTATATATTTATATACAGTAGACAAAAGGAGTCGCCGCGCCCGCCGAGTCTTGACTTCGCACCTCTAGGCGTCGCTGGTGGTTCTTTTTATTTCCATCCCCTTCTGCTTCTTCATATTTTTTTGTTATCTCTCCAGGAATATGGAAAATCGAGAAAGGGTCGAGAGGGAGGAAGGACCTTGGGCGTCCTCGGACGTCCTCGGGGAAATGACAGGACATCGTAACTCGTAGGGCGTTCCAAGTCGCGCGTCCACCTTCCAATTCGTCGGTAATGTATAATGTCTTATCGGCTAGAGCTTATAGTAGTATATTGCACATTCGACAACAGTTACGTCTTCATTTAAGTACTTAGGTATAGGAAGTGTCCGCTACGAATTATCCATCGCACGTATCTCGTTACTCCCCTTTCCTCCGTATAACCTCCTCGCGTCCCTCCGTGCACTCCCCTCGTTCGGCGTTGCCTCAGTCGCACATATATTTATATATTTACCTCGAAGAATTCGATGAAGTCGGCATGTAGGTACCTTCAGGTTAGCTCGATGTGTACGTGTCCGTCTACGTGAACTTTATCGCGCTCCTCCTCGGGTGCATTTCCCGTATGCAGTCCACGCCATTCGTTGCAGAGCTCCCCTCGAGCGAGGTCTCTTTACTTCTTTACACCCGAAATTTTATTATCCGCCCCCTCGTTCGGCTGCGAATCCAAAGCACTGTCAAAAAGTCCCTTACTTCTTATCGCCCGCCTTTTCGTCGGCGTCGCCATTCTCGATGCGGCCGCCATTTTGTCCAGGAAGAATTCCCGACTGGGACCGCCGCGATATATTTCCCTACCAATGGATTTCGGCCTCGTTTTTCTTCCCCAGTACTGGGTAATAAAAAGATTAATGACTTCGGCATCTTTCCATCGTTGGATTTTGGCGACGCGGTTCATGTAGTTCCCTAGTTAAATGGCGGTCGGCGTCGTTTCCGGTGCGTCTAATCAACTCCAAGAAATCCCGCGACCTCCTGACCCGCTCTCTTTCTCTTAAGTATATCTACATATAAATCGGCTATTATGTTTCGTTAAGTACCATGTTTCCATACGAGAGTGAGGCCCGTGAGGTGTTAGGCCCCTTCCTTACATTTAACTGAGCAGATTCGTCGATCACCCCCGCCGATACTTCCGGGGGATTCTCATTGTACGACCCTATAGATACACCCAGGCGTAGGCCCCGAATTCGTTGATGAACACTACCCTTTCTAAGCTTCCGAATGTTCGTCCATTTACCTCGGTGTGAAGACTCATGGAGCCGGACAATTTTTCGTTGTGACTCGGGTCAGGGTCCTCGAAGGAACGGCGGAAAAAAGAAGAAGAAAAAATGAAAAAAAAAAGAGACAATCGTCCGTTCCTCCTCTCTTTCAATTTTATAGCGTGACCGGGAGAGGACCTCTTCCCTCCCTTGCCCTCGGCAAAAATCCTCGAAACTCCCCGATCGATCTAGATTAAGAGTTCGTTGCTCGGCGATTCGTTTCCCCTTTTTGGAGTCGATCGGGAATCGGCGAGAGTAAGGTTGGCGCGACCTCGTCGTCCTCGAGGAGCGGGAATTAATTCCGATCCTTGGACCTCGTCAAGGTGTCCGCCGTTCCCTCCGTCGTTGTGAGAGATTTCCTCGATTTCGTTGGGCCTCCAGGTTGAGGATGGATTTTTCGAGGGAGACTCGACATTTCAGGATCCCGAGATTTGGAAGAAAGCGCCGAAGACCGGGTCCTCGAAGAGGTCCTGGAAGGGCTTAGAGGTCCTCCCGAGGACGAAGCTTCGTTTCCTTGGCCCCGGAAACGGTTCTCCAGGTTTCGCGGTCCTCCTTTCCAGCCAGGATGCATCGATTATCCTCGATTGTCCTCGATTACACCGAGGCGTGAAGGGTGCCGCTTTGCGGGGCCGGGGGGTAGGATGCATTCCCAGGTGCAGCCGAGGGTTGCAAGCTCAGCTGCAGCTGATGCTGCTGTGCTTTCGCTCGCAGACACGCGATGCTCTCGTTCCTTAGCTGCTCCGTGTCCTGGACGACACCTAGAAGAAGAAGGAAACACGAATTTCCAAATTATTCGAATCCTATCCTCGTGTACCTTCAACGTCGGGTCCATTTAAACGTTTTCCGACCCAATAGATTAAACGATATGAAAGGCGCCGAGAAATTTAATCCAGGTCGATAAATTAAAATTCATTCGTACCCTTTTTGGTTGTAACGCCATTTTGAATTCTCAAGTCGTACATAAGCTGGCGCGTCCCGTAATCGACATTTATATTTAATGGCACAACCCTAACTTAAATATGAAACTTCAATATTTTAGCAGTGCCGTAGCTACAATAAATAAAATCGATAAAGAGTATATAACTATTATATCAATGTAAAGGAGCTTCATCATTTCTTCCTATGTGGCTGTGACCACACATGTATAGTCGAAGGATATTCATGACATGAAAATTAAACGAAATTGCCAAAACGTATAATTTTTCAATGCGCCTCGATTAATTGAAATGAATTAATGATAATCATTTGACGAAGGATGGAGACTTTTGGGACAAAAGTGAATACAGACCCGTGGAGGAGGAGGGGCCCATCCCGTCCTGGCTTTCCTGTCCACTCTCGGAGCTGGTGGGTCCACCCTGGTGGTGGTTGTGTCGAGGGCTGCTGCCACTTCCGGCGTGGTCGTTTCCGCTGTCCTCGCCCCCCGACTTGAGATGCTCCGCCGCCTCGATCGACTTTCGGTGCATCCCTACGGGCCCACAGTCAATCAGTTCTTGGTTACTTTCGAAATCTTGGCTAAGGCTGCTCGTCTTAGACGACTGGGCTGATAGAGACGGACAGAAAAAAAAGGTTCCTCGTTTTTCGAGATGTTCTCCAGGAGAAGGGGGCCAGGGGCGCGTCTCGTCCCTTCCGGTACTCGTTAGGTTCTCCTACATTTCCCTTGAAGGGTCGAAACGGAGAGTGGACTCTTAACGCGATCTTTTTTAACTTAGGTCCTCCTCGATAAAAGATGATTTCCCCCGGAGGGGACAATTGGACTTTACTCTCTCGATTTGGCTTTCAATGGGGTCGTTACCGTGATCGGCCCGAATCGGACCTGGGGCATGTTCGGGAAGCTGAGCGATTTTCTCACCGAGTAACCAGGGCGCGACCGACTCGTTCTCCTTGGCACTCTTCAGGATCGTCTCCGGAAGAGGCAGGGAATGTCGCACCATCGCTCCGTACAGTCCGTACTCCGCCATTATGGTACTTCTGCCCCAGCACTTCTCCGTCTTGCGCCACTTTGCCCTTCGATTTTGGAACCACACCTGAAATCACCCAAACGAGACCCTCCGTTAACATCCTCCGACATTTTTCATTTCCCATTCGACTCTTTTTGGAATCACGTCGATTTTGGAACCACCCCTGAAATCACCCAAACGAGACCCTCCGTTAACATCCAAACCTTCTCCGACATTTTTCATTTCCCATTCGACTCTTTTTGGAATCACGTCGATTTTGGAACCACCCCTGAAATCACCCAAGCGAGACCCTCCGTTAACATCCAAAACCTTCTCCGACATTTATTTTCATTTCCCATTCGTCTTGATCGCGGCTTATCATGGCCAAGCTCCTTGCAGTTCGCTTATCGACACACCCTAAAAGACCGAAATATTTCTTAACACCTCCATATCCTCGATAATCTGTTTCCTCATTGAACAGTACCATGAAAATAATTTCTTAATTCAAGGAATAATTAATTAACTCATACGAACTGGAATAAAATGCACGGGGCATTTACTCGGAATTACGACAATTTATCTGAGTTTAATCGTTATTGACTATCGCTTAAAAGATTAAGCGACGGCGCGTCATCTTCTTTCGTCACGAAAAATTCTATAAATCCGTTAACAATGAATGTACACGGTTATATTTTTATTTTCAGACCGGAAGGTCTTAAATATAAAAAGGTCCTACCAACCTCCTAATTACCCAGCCATGCAGGGACCTTACATCCAATTACGAAGACGGATCACGGGCCGATGGCTCGGCGCGGTTGATTAGCGCGCTTGGAGACCCTTAGGGATTAGTATCCCGTTTTTCAGGATCGGTGATCCTGCTAGGCTACTTGTTAACGATCCTGGCGATACGACCGCCTACGGTGTGGACGCGTGCCAGCTCCTGCGGCCACGTTTGTATTAACAGTTTCGAGTTTAACGATCCGCACTGCGGAGGAGGTCCTGCCGCGTCCTGGCCCAAGGCATCCTTCGGCAGGACTCGGCACGGACAAGAATTACCCACCCCGAGGCTCGTTTTGTAATATTAGGTTGATGCATAAGTAATGGCGGGTTTTTTGTACGCTATGTTACATGTAAAAAAAAAGCGCCATTACTTATGCATCAACCCAGGACACTTCCAGGAACGGCCACCTCCGTTCGCCATGTAAACCGTAAACGAGGAATAAAAATAAAAATTACACTCCACGAAACGATACCGACGTTCCAATTAATCCGAAACAATCCCTATCGAACCATTACACGATTTTAAAAAAGGTATTTCAACAAATTTTAAACGGTATCAGGTTGATACGCAGATTTGTGTGGGTTTTTCTCTCGTTTCATTAAAAAAAAAAGAGCCCAATGTCTATTCCAACAATGGATAAAAATTACACTCCACGCAACGGAACCGATGTTCCGATTTATCCTAAATAATCGCTTTGGAATTTATAAAAAGGTACTTTAACAAATTTTAAACGGTAACAGGTCGATAAGGACATTCGTGCGGTTTGTTCTCTCGTTTTGTTAAAAAAAATAAAGTCGCCGAGGATATAACCTCAACATAAGTATACCTATTCAAGACCTTGTAATTTCCCTGAAATGTTCAGTACTCTTTTGGATCGAGAATAATAGTTTATGTGGTGCCTTTGTTCAAATGGTTCGTAAAAATAAAATTCTAGGAATCTATGCTTTAGCTTAATTAAAAAATTTCAGGGAATTTTTATTCGAGCGTAGGGGTGCAGGGTACCTTTCGCGAGAGGGTGGTTAGCCTCCGTCTTTTTTCTTTTTTTCGACGGCGAGGGATTTTTCTTCGGAGAGGTTTCTCGGTACTCAAGGGGAGGGGAATATTCCGAGGGGTTCCGAATTTCAGGGTACCCGGAGGTGACGATTTAAAAGCTAGAAACCCTATCGCGCAGGTTGCAGCGAGGGGGCGTCGGGACGCAGGGGCGCCGGTTGTCGGGGTGGCCAGGGGAGGGTGTGCCCGAGGCCAGGGCGTGTACCAATTTGTAGCAACAATGCTAAAGTCACCGGCAGAATTGGAACGTAATTCGAATGAATGGGAACGCGTTGCCCTGTCAATTTGGCCCGCCACCCTGAAATTATCTTCAGCTTAGATTTGAACGGGTCGACGGGTTTTTGCAACGTGAGCGCGCCTCTCGCCCGGGCTTTTTCCAGGATTTTTGCATCCCTCGAGTCCTGGAGGCTCGATCGGCGAATCGCGCCTCCGTTATCGACAGGAAATCGCCGGACACCGCCGGACGTCGGGTCCATTTTAAGGGCAATTTCCCTGGCTAACGCGAATTTTAATAATTTTTCTCAAGGACTAAAAGTAGATACAAGTGCCTAGGACTAGAGGAGACCCTTACATTGTTCGATAGGAGTCCTGAGGTATCGACTCAAGGCGAATATTAGCCAAAGATAGGACACCGCCGGACGTCGGGTCTCTTTTAAGGGCAATTTCGATGACTAACATGAATTTTAATAATTTTTCTTAAGGACTGAAGGTAGACACAAGTGCCTAGGACTAGAAGAGACCCTTGCATTGCTCGATAGGAGTCCCGAGGTAGCGACTCAGGGCGGAAGGGCGAATATTAGCCAAAGATATGAAAGTTAAGACCCTTGCATCGTCCGACAGGAGCCCTGAGGTAGCGGCGGAAGGGCATCGGCCCAAGATAGGAAAATGAAGAGAAGAGGAAACAAGAGGATGGAAGCCGAGGAAGAGTCGCCTCTTTATTGGCACACCCGGTATAATAAGGAGCGAGTTTGTATTTAGTCGGCCATGCGCAGTGCTCCGCCGGCGTATCATCGATCAGACCGGCGACTGACTATTGGACCAAAACAAGAGGATGAGAATGGGAAATGGGAATAAAGAGCGAGCCGGCGCACGGCGGAGCCGGAAGGGGTGGAGGAGGGTGCCGTCCAGGGAGGGAAAGATGGACAAGACGAAGAGAGCCGAAGAGGGGACCAAGAGGTGGACAGAGCATGGCCGATGGTGCGTCATCGATGCGCAAAAGTCCAGAAACTCTTCCGATAAGGGACCATCGACTCTTCGAATCATTTTCCGAAAGTCTTAATGGAGTTTCCTCGGATTCCTTTATTCCGATTTTCCCGATAATGGACCTTGCAAAAATCGGGGACCCTCGTTGACCAGCTCGGCCTTCGAGGCGCCGTGATAAGCGCGGAGTCGCGCTTATCACCGGGTCCCGGAATCCCCATCGAGCGTGGACGCGCTTAGCGTCGCGGCGCGCGGATAATTGGAGATCTCGTTACTTTCCCGGAGGGACTTTAATTTGGGACCGGCCGATAACGAGATCGACTTCCCGCTCCCGAAGTCCCCCTTCGGCCCGACTCGTTTGCGATCGAGCCGAGCCCGCGAGGTGCTCAAGGGGTTACGCGGCTAATGTTTAGGGCCGAAGTCATCGCTCCAAATCATCGGGATGGGGACGTTAACGACCAGGATCATCGCCGACTGGTTATTCAACGATTCGCCTCCTTCGACTCCTTCCTCGCCCCGCGCTCTTCAGAGGCTCCCTCGGTCCTCGAATTCTCGGAGTGCCTGACATTTTGAGAAATCTCCCGCACTCTAAGTAATCACATTTAAAGAGATCGCGAAAACTGGCTTGAATTCTTGACCTGCCCGAAACATCTCAAAATTGATCCTCTATCCACCCTTCTGAAATGCTCCGAAATCCTGTCGAATTTCCTGACTTCCTGAAACTCATCGAAATATCCCGCACTTTAAATCACCATTTTTTTTCTCCTCCTTCGAAAACCCAGTATAATTTTCGGATTCCTTGAAATCCCTCGAAATTTCGGGGAATTTAAATCTATGCCTTTCCAGTGATTTTAGAAACTGACTCGAATTCATAGAATTCCTGCAGGTTTTTTAGGAGATCGTGGAATCCTATCTCGTTCTCGTAGACGCGTCGCCTTGTATTCTTTTTTCTTTTCTCCCGTCGTTGTTGCGTCCCGACGGACCTCGACGGACGGTGACGTCCACGTCGTCGATTCTCACAAGTGCGGAGGAACCGGGGACCTGAGCCAATTAATCCCGGGCAAATGGGCGAGGAGTGTGCGAACCGGCTCGCAGGGGATGCGGATGGTCGACTTATTTACCGCATAATACATGAATCGGCACATCCCCCGGGCCGAGTTACCTTGGTAAATAGTTAAGTTAGATGGACCGTGGGGTCCCGGCACCCTCTTCAGGGTCGGACGCCACCCGCTGCGATGCGGCACGCGTCGGAACATCATTACGCGGGACACTTGCTCGGACCGAGGGGTGCGGTCTCTTCCCTGGCGATCGGCTCTTCAAGGCCGATATTTTGCTCGAAATCGTCCCTCCGCATCTTCCTGCATCCTCTGACAAAGAAATCTACCCCGTTACCTGCTCAATACTCAGTCAAAGCCCCAGACATCGCATATATTTAATTTTAGGTGAACCATACAAATCCCACCCCGAGAAAAAAAAAATTGAAAGCAATGTATATCGTTGCTTGAATCCCATTTAATAGCAAGAAACAATTATTACCTTCGAGATGAAAAATGATGTCGTTGAAATTTGGAGGTTTTTTTTCGCGGGATTTTCTTGCAACAATGCATACTTGTATTTCTCCCGGGGCAGTCTTGGACAATTCCCACGAAAGCCCTCTATCCACCCCCGAGGAATTGACACCGTGGTTATATAGTCACTGACAAAGCTTATAGAATAATTCCACAAATTGAAACGTCAATATTAATTTCAGGTGAACCGTAAAAATCCTACCCCGAGAAAAAAAAAAATGAAAGCAATGTATATCGTTGCTTGAATCCCATTTAATTGCAAGAAAGAACTATTTCCCTCGGGAAGGAAAATGATACCGTCGAGATTTGGATGTTTTTTACACCCCCGAGAAATTGACACCGTGGTTATATAGTCACTGACAAAGCTTATAAAATAATTCCACAAAATGGAACGTCAATATCATTGAGATAATCCGAAGACTTCCAAAAGTGGAAGGCAGAATTTCCGGTGACCGATGGAAATTACGAGGTCATTTTCGGAGTTGAAC